CATGCCAGCGGGAGCCGGTTTTGAAAGACATCAGCCTGCTTCCTTGTTCCCTGGCAGCCCTGTAAGTACCAACCAGGCAGAAACCAGCGAAAACCTCCCAGAAAGGCTGCCCAGGTGAAGCCTGTCATAAGTTTCTCTTCATTAGCCGACTCGATGACTGGCCGGAGGTCACAATTAAAGGAGGTTATTTTCCGGTGCTCTAAGTGCAAAGAGTGTTAACGGGGACTCCATTTGTCATGCCTTATTGGCAAAAGCATGGGAAAATATTAAAATCGCAATAAACTCAACCTCCCCCCCCCGCCGCCCCCCACCAAATGTCGCCAAACAGACTTGACTTTCCCAGGCTCCACTCCAAACCAGAGCCTCCCAGTTGGAAAGAGAAAGGGCTCAGAGAGGATTTGCCAGTGTGGGCAGGAAGAAGCAGGCTTACTTTATGGCCATGTTGTTGCAAAGTTTAATGTTCTGGTGTTTTCTTGACTCTTCCATAGCTACCCTTCAGGAATAAGCCCATGCTCATGTGGTCAGATGTGTCTTTAATGCTCGGTCTAGTCTGAAGTTCTGGCCCAGAAACTGTGGTTTTAAATCCCAAGGATTCTAATTGAGACACAAGTCCTTTTGTGATTAAAGCATAAGGGCTTTATCTGTGGGTAGGCTTGCATGTTCACAGTGGAGCTTGCCTTTTGCTTATCAAAGCAACAGAATACACATAGGCACACACAAGCACTCACACACATGCACACACATATACACACACCCATGCACACACATACATATACACATACATGCCACACACACTTACATACACACATCTTAATAAATTTGTTAACTATCCTGTGTATCATTTCATATGTCATGTTTACCCAAAATTTTTTTTAAAGTTTATGCTAATTAATTATGCCTAATTTAGATATTTGTATCTTGATACCTCAGGAAAAATGATTAAATGTGATGAAAGTCGTTCAGTCATGCCCGACAGTCCATGGAATTCTCCAGGCCAGAATACTGGAGTGGTTAGCCTTTCCCTTCACCAGATCTTCCCAACCCAGGAATAGAACTGGGGTCTCCAGCATTGCAGGTGGATTCTTTATCAACTGAACTATCGGGGAAGCGAAATGTGATAACTACTAGTTAAAACCATACTTCTCATTTGAAATCTTTTGCCTGTGATGTATCATGCTACTAATCCACTTTGATGTGGTTAACTTTTTCTGTGAGTCATTTTCCTGGTACAAATGGGTATGCACTCATTTGCCCAGAATTTATTTATCATTACTGGGGACTTACTGTGGTCTATTGGACCCTGGGCCACAGACCTAGGAGCAATGGATTTGAGATGTGTTCGCTGGTCCAGGGCTTATACAGAGGAAGAGACAGCCGGCCGGAGATGGCACTGCAAGGGATATATATTCTGTATCACATTGTGTGTGAATTATAATTGAGCACAGTCTCAGAACTTTCACCTTATTACATGGTACAAACCAGCCATGGACTTGAATAAAAACATATTTTCATAGCCTAATGTCTTCATGTGCATACTTAAGGAGTATTAGCTTTTGCAGCCAAGACACGAAAGTACAATATTATTCCAAGTTAAAGAAAATGATCTCTCTAATAATACATTCTTCTCATTTTCTCTTCACTGTACACATACACGCATGCACATGAATGCAATACAATTTATCAAATTAAACATAAACAAATTATTTAGGATCCATGCAGTACTAACAAAGAAACAGCCTTGTAAGAAACAGGAATTTATTAGCACTCCATCCTCTGAATGTACATTGATAGAAAATATAATTAAATCAGCACATTTTACTACTCACTCAGCATAAATTGTCGCTGGGTCTGCAAGATGGATGCAGTGCATTGTTTGTGCTCACGAAGACAATAGTCTTCTAAGATGAAATCTTTCTTCTTTTATTTATTCTACAAAGGGTGTCCATGCCCAAACCCAGGCAAATAGAGACAGACGCTAAATAGCTTCATCCCCTGATGGTACCAGATGTTCTCATGGTCTCCATAGCCAGGGCACCATGTAAAGGAAATATCCATGAACCCAGAGCTGACATGAACAACTCTTAAAAGCCACGAGTTATCTGAGGTCCAGCATTTCACAACAGATGAGCCCATGAACTGAGAGGCAAAAGGTGAGACACCCTCTCGCCCAGGGCCAAGCCTTCCAGCCTCTGAGTATATGCTGACAGTCAGCTCCAGCTGCGGTAACAAAATGCTATAGACTGGGGAGCTTAGTGAGGCTTCCCAGGTGGTGCAGTCGGTAAAGAATCCACCTGCCAATGCAGAAGATGTAAGATACATGGGTTCAATCCCTGGGTGGGGAAGATCCTCTGGAGAAGCAAATGGCAACCCGCTCCAGTATTCTTGCCTGGAAAAATTCCATGGACAGAGGAGTATGGTGGGTGCTACAGTGCACAGGGTCACAGAGAATCAGATCGACTGAGCATACTCCGACCGGCTGTAGGGCTAAAGTGGCAGACGTTTATTTCTCACAGTCTGTAGGCTGGGAAGCCCGTGGTCAAGGTGCCAGCGGATTTGGTGTTCGCTGAAGGCTGGCCCCTCACCTTCCCGACTTGTAGACCGCTGCCCTCTCCTGGTGCCCTAATGTGGCCTTCCCTTGCTGAGTGCTGTTTACAAGGGCACTAATCCTGTCACGGGGCCCCAGACTCATGACCTTATCTAAATCCAATAACTTCCCAAAGGCCCCACCTCCAAACACCATCCCAGCGGGGGTCAGAGTCTCCACACGTATTTGGGGAGAACACACACATTTGGCTTGTAATAGGTGCTGTCATGTTTTTAGAATAATATCCCTGAAATTCATCTCTTCTAAGATCATAGACGGTATCAAAATTGTGCAGCATAGTTTTGAAAGACTCAATACAGGGAAGAAAAAGGCTGGATCACACTTAACCAAACCAAACCAGACCAAGCTTAAAGGGCCCCGGGCTACATGCTATGTGCTCGGTCGGGTCCTACTCTTTCCGGCCCCATGGGCTGGGGCCCACCAGGCTCCTCTGTCTATGGGACTGTCCCTGCAAGAATACTGGAGTGGGGTGCCATTTCCTCCTCAACAGGATCTTCCCAAACCAGGAATCGAACTCCCGTGTCTGCTGGCAGATGAATTCTTTAACACGAGCGCCCCGTGGGAAGCCATCCTGTGACACCTTCCCATCCTGTCCACCTCAGGGAGGCAGAAGACGGGGGGCTGGGGCTCAGGCGTCCTGAGAGACTCAGAAAGTGACAGAAGCATGTCAACCTCCAGTCCAGCAGAGAGGAAATGTTCTTGTTACCTGTTATCACATGCAAATGCCTTGAAACTGAACACACTGGAAAAATAATAGCACATGAAGGTAAGTCTTTGCCCAGAAAGGGGGATTTTCGCTGCAGGCAAGGGGTCAAGCTGACGGTCTAAGTAGTAAATTTGGTCCAAGAGTTTCTGTTCCCAAGGCCCCTCCATGGGATTGGCAGGGCCAGTGATGCCCACAGTGGTCCCTGATGAGAGGCTCATGATCCAAACTCAGAAACTCCCACCTAAGTGAGCTGCTAGCAAGGTCCATTTCCTCAAATATATATAGATTCAAAAGCAAAACATCCTGGCTGGTTCAGTGTTCATCAGTCAATTGGCATGAAAGTAAAAGGGCACCAGGAAGCACCAAGTACTTATTGCAAAAACCTTAACTCTCACGGGTTCATATTCTCCCCAGATTCTGCCCTGATCTCCCAGTAGACCAGGAGAAGCTGGGGACAGTGCGGGACACCATAAGGGGGTCTTCTGGCCTCCTGGCTTGTGGCAGTTGGAGATGGTACTGGTTCCGGCCTGGGTCTTCTTTCTCTCCAAGTAGAATTACCATGAGGAGCAAGGTCAATCCACACTGTGTTTGGGAACAGCCCACAGTTTTGCTTTTCTTCCAGCCTTTAACAGTCTTCTGAAAAATTCTAACCCATCATAGAAGGATTCATTCCCAACACATTAATGAGCCGAATCTTTTAGTCTGAGACCAGAGATACGTTCTCAGCGAAGACACAGCCGCTGTCGCTGCACCTGCCGAGAAAAATGGGAGCAGCCTGGGGCAGAGGGCGGAGGCAGGGACGGCAAAGTGGGGCTGACTCTGAGGGTCGTGTCCTCCGACAAGCTGGGCATAGCTGGGCAGGCGACTGGGACTAGGGCCACAGTTCTGACAACCAGCAATTCTCAACACCATGGGCAGCATGAACAGAAAGGGGGGGTTTCCCGGTGGTCCAGTGGCTAAGACTCCAAGCTCTCAGCACAGCAGGCCCAGGTTCAATCCCTGCTCAGGGAACTAAGTCTCGCATTTCACAACTAAGAGTCTGTATGCCGAGATAAAGATCCCGTGGGCAGCAACCAAGATGGAAGGTCCCACATGCCTCAACTAAGACCCAGCATAGCCAAATAAGATAAATAAATAATTTTTGTGTAAAGAAGACTGAGAAAGTATTGAACCCAGGATCTAGACCCCAAGCTGTACTCACTGTCCAGAAAAGAAGAGGAGGAAGATGAGGAGGGAGAAGGTAGAGGACGAGCAGAAGGAAACATGTTGGGAGATGAAAATCGAAGGGTCCACATAAAAGAAATCCTGTATATGATAACAAAGATACCTACGGTATGTTTCCATCTATGTGATATCCCACAATGGACAAAATAATCAATCTATGTGAGTCAAAGTCAGAATGGTGATACCTGAAGAGGAGGCTAGATTGGAAAGGGCACCAGAGAACCTTCTGGGTGATGAAGCTGTCGCATGTCTTACCTTGGGGGCGACTATGAGATGGTGTGCAACTGTCAAATGTCATTGATCCAAACTACCTACGCTCTGTGCATTTCACTGTATGTAAACAATGTCTTGATGATGATGCCTATGTTAATAATACTATAATAATGCAATGCTTTCTTTATCTACTTTATTACTAGACTCCTGCTCGGCCATGTGAATATCTTTGACCGAAATAGCCCAAGTCATTGTGAGACCTGATCCCAGCAGGCGGCAGCGGCTTTCATTTTCAGGCTTCTTGAGTGTCCTTTTCTGCCTGTGACACTGTGGAGTCCTGTGTAAATAAATAATGGTGGGAGCAGCACGTTGGAACACCCACTTAACCTGTGAGTTGCAAGGTTATTTTTGTAGCCGTGTCCTGTCTTCCAGTGTGGAGGGTGATTTATGGTTTTCAGCCGAGCGTCCTCATCATTGTTCTCACCTTTGTTTCCATCATAGTTAATTAAAGGGAAGGTCATTGTCACCTTATGTTTTAAACCTTCTTAACATAATATATCACCCTTGGTACACTTTAATAAGGGGATTTGTGAAGGAATGGTGTAATAGGAAAAAAGTTTACGGCATAATCCATCCTGTTCACAATTACACTTTAGCTGTTGCACATAATGAAAGTTAATAAGTAGACAAAATGAAGGGTCTATCTTGGGATTCATTCAAGTGTTGATTAATTGGCTGGTTGATGTAATGGAACAAGGAGATACCTAGCTTTTCTAAACTGTAGGCAAATGTGGCCAAAACAAACCCTATTTAAAGGACAATCTCTCCTTCCTTTTTTCCTTGCAAAGTGTCACCCCCAAACAATAGGAAATTAATTAAACACCTGTTTATTGAATGCCTTCCACGTGGCAGCACACACAACACCGGGATACAAAGGGTGAGGTAAAACACAGCTCCTTCCCTGGAGGGCGACGCAGACCAGTGCTGTGACGGAGGTGCGAAGGGAGGACAGACTATTTATTCTCAATGGTTACTCCTGGGGATCCCAGGATTGGTTAAGATTCATAAGAATGTCTGAAATAATATTAAGTATGCCAAGCACATCTGCCAAGAAAATGTTAAATCCTTTCTCCGAAGCCATTTATTTTATTTAACAAACACTTATAAAGCACTTACTAAAAGACCGGCATTGTTCTAAATGTTCTCCAAATATGAAGTCATTTAATACCTACAACGTCCCTAATGAGGAAGGGGCCATTCTTACTCATACTTTAGAAATACAGAACCTGAGCCACAGAGCATTTGAGTTATTTAGCCATGTTTGTCTATTTCTCCAAAATCTGAGCTCATATCCACTACCTTTGTGCCATCTTTGTGCTATCTTTACAATAAAATTTCTTTTGAAAGTTTCAAAAGATAATGAGTATTAACAAAATTTTCAACGAAAGGGACAGTTTTGCATAAAGATCTGACAGAATTCTGCATTTCTAACAGTAATTCAAGGCCATGTTAAATAATACAACTCACATAAACTAAAGAGACTACAGACCCAGTAAAATAAGTTACTGACCTAGTCAAGTTTAAGCAGAATATGAAGCAAGATAGGAACACCTGTTTTCCTCCTATACATTTGCAACAAGAAAGGTGAGAGAGCAAATCTAGGATGAGGAACACCTACAGTGGAACTTCATACCTCAGGAGGAACGTCATCATGATCGAGGTCGACGGTGTTTACCCATGACCTGACTCGCTATTGGATTTATCGGCAAGCCCACCTTTGATCTGCATTCCCCTAGGATACAGGTGAATGCAAGTCTGCCTAGTGCGAAAGAAGAATGCAGACTAGCAGAAATCCTCAATGGCCAATCGAGAATTGAGCACAAACATTGTGGTGAGCAGCTTCTCGGATGGACTGCGAGGATCTCTGCTTCCTGGGTGACCCCTGCCCTTGACTGTGGACTGGACCAAGGGACTGGCTTCCAGCTGCTGGAAGGCAGGAGGGGTGGTGGGAGGCAATTTGCAGATTAGGCTACAGAGACTTTTGCTTTGGTGTTGGCTCCTGTCTCCCTCACTTGTTCACTCTGATGATCCCTGAGCTGCTCTAGAAAGGCCCCTGAGGCAAGGGGCTGATGTGGCCCTCAGTCCAACCTCCTGCCGGGGACCAAGTCCTGCCAACAAACAGGGTGCAACTGGAGGCAGACCCCCCCTCCACTTAAGATTCCAGATGAGACCACAGCCCTGCGGGAAATTTTGCTGCAACTTCCAAAGAAACCCCTAGTCTCCAGGTAAATAAGGGTAGCCCAGAGGAGCTACACTCAGACTCCTGATCTACAGAAAATCATGACAAGACTATGCATTGGTTTAAATCATTAACTTTTACATGTAATTTGTTATGGGACAATAGGTAATAAAGGACCTATCTTTCATCACGTACCAATTTTCCAAGAAATGCAAGGAAAGCGGGGAAACATTGAGTGAAGAAGAGGTGAGGGTACAGTCTGCCTTCAGGGGGGTTTTCAGTTTAGCAGAAACACTTGAGTCCATGACACAGACACTTCCTGGTAAAGCTCTGTGTCATGTCACTTCGGGGCTTCCCTGGTGGCTCAGCTGGTAAAGCATCTGCCTGCAATGCAAGAGACCCTGGTTCCATCCCTGGGTCGGGAAGATCCCCTGGAGAAGGAAACTGCAACCCACTCCAGTACTCTGGCCTGGAAAATCCCATAGACAGAGAAGCCTGGTGGGCTACAGTCCATGGGGTTGCAAAGAGTCAGACACGACTGAGGAATGAACACTTTCACTTTCTTCTTGTCACTTTGTCAATGTGGGACACAGGGGCCTCTGTGAACTTGTGAGCAAGTCAACACAGGAAGTCCTAAATGACGAAATGTGGGTTCTTGACATTCATCAGTGTATTTATACTTCATTTAATGTCAGTAGATCATGGATAGTGGATGCAAGGTGAACAAATGTTTTTCTTAATTTTGTATGTAGACATAGGCCTGGCGGGTCGCCTGGAAATTGGGAAACTCTGTGGCACCCTGTTTTTCTCACCATCTCCTCTGTTGTATTAAATACAGGTAAGAATGGTGAGAGAAACAAAAGCAAAAATGAACAAGTGAGACCTAATTAACCTTAAAAGCTTTTGCAAAGCAAAAAATACCATAAACAAAATGAAAATAGAACCTACAGAATGGGATAAAATATTTGCAAAGGATGCAAGCTACAAGGGATTACTTTTCAAAATATACGAACAACGCATACAGCTCAATACCAAAAAAAAAGAAAAAAACCCAAATTAAAAAAAAAAAAAATGGGCAGAAGGCCTAAACAAACAGTTCTCCAAAGAAGACATACAGATGGCTAACAGGTCCATGAAATGATGCTCAAGATCGCTAATTATTAGAGAAATGCAAATCAAAATTTCAATAAGGTATCACATCACACTGGTCAGAATGGCTATCATCAAAATGTGTACAAAGAATAAATGCTTGAGAGGATGCAGGAAAAAGGGCACCTTCCTACACTGTTGGTAGGAATGTAAATTGGTACAGCCATTATGAAGAACAATATGGAGGTTCCTTAAAAACTAAAAATAGAGCTACCATATGACCCTGCAATTCCATTCCTGGGCATATATCTGAAAGAAACTATAATCTGAAAGGATATATGCTCCTCAATTTCCATGACAGCACTGTTTACAATAGTCAGGACATGGAAACAACCTACATGTCCTTTGGTGGAGGAATGGATAAAAATGTGCTAATATAGACAGTGAAATGTTACTCAGCCATAGGAAAAAAAAAATAATGTCACCTGTGGCAACAGCAGATGGAACTAGAAATTGTCATACTGAGTGAAGTAAGTCAGGAACAGAAATATAAATGTATGATATTACTTATATGTGGAATCTAATAAAAATAGTACAAATGAACTTATTTATATAGCAGAAATAGACTCTCAGGCATAGAAAACAAACCTGTGGTTAGCAAAGAAGTGGGGAGGGATAAATTAGGGGTTTGGGATTAACAAATACACACTATATGAAATAGACAACCAACAAGGACCTACTGTATAGCACAGAGAGCTATATTTAATATTTTGTAATAACCTATATGGGAAAAGAAGCTGAAAAAGAAGATATCTCTATCTATCTATCTAGCTATAGCTTGATCAATTTGCTATATACCTGAAATGTTGTAAATTAACTATTGTTAGTTAGTGTTAGTTGCTCAGTTGAGTCTGAGTCTTTGCGACCCCATGCACTATAGCCCACCAGGCTCCTCTGTCCATGGAATTCTCCAGGAAAAAATAATGGAGTAAGTTGCCATTCCCTTCTCCAGGAGATCTTCCTGACCCAGGGGTCAAACCCAGGTCTCCTGCAATGTAGGCAGATTCTTTAGCATCTGAGCCACCAGAGAAGTCTATATCAACTATATTTATTAAGCTTAAATGAACTATACTTCAATAAAAGAAATAAAATTTAAAACAAGGAATGGCATGAGATAGGATAATATGAAGGATGATAAGTCTGCTTTACTTCCAACAAAAACAAAACTAGCAGCTTACACAGTTATTGTGCTGGAAATTTTTGTTTTGTTTTTTATTTAATTTATTTTAATTGGAGGCTAATTACTTTACAATGTGCTGCAGATATTTATATGTAAAGAATATGCCTCATATATTTCCTTTTACATATTAAAGGAAACACTTTAAAATTCAAAACACAATGTATGTGAGCTGCCTGACATTGTCCATATGTGACTGTGGAGATGATCTTAAGAGGACTGAGATCAAGAGGACTGAGAGGTTTCATAAGCATGACTCGAGCTCCCAAGACCCTTCACATATTTATCTTGATATTTTATGTCCAATGTAGTCATCTGTGTTAGAAAGAAAACCAATTATAACCAATTATAAAATTGGGAAAGAGTATATCAAGGCTGTCTATTGTCACCCTGCTTATTTAACTTACACGCAGAGTATATCATGTCAAATACCAGGTTGCGTGAAGCACAAGCTGGAATCAATATTGCTGGGAGAAATCTCAATAACCTCAGATACGCAGATGACACCACCCTTATGGCAGAAATTGAAGAGGAACTAAAGAGCCTCTTGAAGAAGGGGAAAGGGAAGAGTGAAAAAGCTGGCTTAGAACCCAACATTAAAAAATCTAAGATCATGGCACCTGGTCCCATCACATCATGGCTAATAGATGGGGAAAAAGTGGAAGCAGTAACATTTTATTTTCTTGGGCTGCAAAATCACTGCAGATGGTGACTGAAAGCATGAAGTGAAAAGATACTTGCTCTTCAGAAGAAAACTATGACAAACCTAGAGAGTGTATGAAAAAGCAGAGACATTACTTTGCAGACAAAGGTCCACATAGAAAAAGTTCTGTTTTTTCTAGTAGTCATGTATGGATGTGAGAGATGGACCATAAAGAAGGCTGAGCACTGAAGCATTGCTGCTTCTGAAAGGTGATGCTAGAGAAGGCTCTTGAGAATCCCTTGGACTGCAAAGAGATCAAACCAGTGAATCCTAAAGGAAATCAATCCTGAATATTCATTGTAAGGAGTGATGCTGAAGCTGAAGCTACAATAGTTTGGCCACCTGATGTGAAGAGCCAACTGAAGCTGGGAAAGATTGAGAGCAGGAGAAGAGGGCAGCAGAGGATGAGATGTTGGATGGCATCACTGACTCGATGGACATGAGTGAGCAAACTCTTGGATACAGGGAAGGTCAGGGAAGCCTGCTGTGCTGCAGTCCATGGGGTTACAAAGAGTTATACAGGACTCAGTGACTGAACAATATTAAAAATAACTCCTTCATAGTCTTTTCTTTTTTAATCTCCAGCAGTTTCTCATCAAAATAATTCTAAAATGGCATAGAATATCACTTTGTTTCTTACGGAAGCATTTCCACTTTCAAGTAATAGGAAAAAATAATATTTTATGATCTATGTTGAAACACCAGTCTAGCAGGATTCTTTCTCTGTTTGGTGTAGTGTTCCAGACAAGTATTCATGACAATGGTACATTGAGTTCTCGCAGCAGAGACCACAAATTTGCCTCACTGGATCTTGTGAAAATCACTTCCTTGCTGGCAAAACATTTTTTAAATTAATTTATTTATTTTAATTGGAGGCTAATTACTTTACAAAACTGTGGTGGTTTTTGCCATACATCGATATGAATCAGCCACAGGTGTACATGTGTTCTGTCTCCTGAACCCCCCTCCCCACTATGGCCTGTAAGAAGGTGAACGGATATGGAAAGAGAAAAACCTTTAGGTAGTCACCTCTCCCTAACCCTAACCCTCACCCTAACCCTCCCTGGAGTGAGTGCTGAGTGGTGCCCTCCACTACTTACCAGCTGCATGGCTGTGACAGAGGCACAATAATTTTGTCCTCAGTGTCATTAACATTAACACACCTTTCGGATGAGTGCTTCCAGAAAACAAAGGAAAAGAGAACAAACAATACTTCTGCAAAGCACTAAGCCGACTAGCCATCTCAAGGTAGATGCTCCATTTATAATGGTCACCACTATTTCTGTTCTTTAAATTCTCTGATTGTTATTTCCAGCATTATTTTATTAGAGTGGCGATTCCTGAGTCTTTTCACTGAAGGGAAAATTCTATACCTGAGAAACTAGGAACAAAAAAAGTATAGCCCCGCTTGGAACTTTGAACAATACGTTTAGGAAGCTGAAATGGCACACTTCAACTCCGCTCATCCCCGAAGGGTTGAAGACGACTTCCCAGGGCCAGCTGGGTTCTTTTCTTTCTGCTCTGACCCACTGGTGCTGTGGCTCACACAAGTCGGCACGCAATGCCTGGCAAAAGACCGGCTTCTTTAATGCCTCCTACAATACGAGAAACTTCATCCCTTTTAATTACTTACAGGAAAGTTTTGAGATGATGGAATTCCCCTGAGTTCCTGGCTGGAAGGATAGCTCCTGTGTCTTAGCCGGTTTCATCCTTTCCTCTTACTTGGCTTACCTTGAAGAACAGAGGAATTATCTTAGATAGACTGGGTTTCAGCTCGACTCCACTGATTGTTTTTCAAGGCAGACTCTCATGAGCGGCTCTTCTTATTCAATAACGATGACACAGAGATTAGCATGACTTACTGAGGTCCCAAACCTTGTGGAGTCTGGGCTCTAAGAGCGTGAATGAGCATGCCTGCATCACAACAAGAACTCATACTTTTCTAGCTAGTCAGGTAGAAACGCCAAGTCAGGGCCCCAGCAGGTGCAGCAAAACTATAGGCCATCAAGGTGAGTCCACGTGGATGGGAAACTCCGTGCTTCCCCGATCACTGAATTCTGTGTCTGTGGTTTCCTCCAGCTCCATGAGCACCTTCAGGACACGTGGTGGCATGTCTGTAGGGCTTTCTCATGGACAGTTTCCATTCATTTCTCTTTCTTTATGATTGGCCATCCTTCCTGTGTTTTTGCATGCCTCAGTTTTTTGGTTAAAAACTGAATATTTTGCAGATTATAATGCAACAGTTCCGGAAGTGAGACCCTCCTCCCCACCCCACCTCCCTGGGGTTTGCTACGGCTGCCTGCTGCAAGCTTCTTGTTGGCTTGCTGCTTTCTCCATGTTTTCAAGTCTATGCAATGAAGGCAAGTCCAGTTAAAGTCTGTCCTTTTCTAAATGCCAATCATTTGTCTCATAACAGAAGCAATCAACGCCTCCTTCCCTGACTTGGAGCAAGAATAAATAAGTCTCACTCACAACCATATCATCACTCCTGGGGGGACACTTCCCTTCCTGAAGTCTAGCAGCAGAAGCAGTAGAAAGTGTGGAGAAGTTCAAGCTGAGTCACTGCCCGCTTGTCAAATCTGGCCCTGATGACACAGGATGATTAAGCCTGCGGATAAATTATTTTGAGCTGGACAAAGAACAATACACTAAACAGCTACATCCTGTTGGAGAATTCCCAGCTCCTCACACTGGCCCCCTCCATCTTCTGTCTCTACCTTCCTCACCTGACTAACTTGCCAGTTCCCAGCTCCGAGACAGAGCCTCTGACCTAATCAGCTTCTCATAGATGCCCCAGTCTCAGATCTGGTTGGGCATGGGGGAAAGACTGCATGGAACCCAAAGAAGAAGAGCCCCTCCCAGGTTTTGTCAAAGGCCTGTCAGCATGTCTGTGCCTCGAGGGAGGCGCAGTTTGGGAACTGCTTCTTGGATCCACATGAAGAGGTAAGAGTTTGGACATGAATTTGAGCAATGTCTGGGAAAGAGTGGACTTCCCCTGTGGCTCAGCTGGTAAAGAATCCGCCGGCAACGCAGGAGACTTGGCTTCTATCCCTGGGCTGGGAAGATCTCCTGGAGGAGGGAAAAGCTACCCATTCCAGTATTCTGGCCTAGAGAATCCCACAGACTGTATAGTCCATGGGATCACAAAGAGCTGGACAGGACTGAGTGACTTTCGCTTTTCATTTTCCTTCTGGGAGATAGTGGAGGACAGTGGAGTCTGGTGTGTTGCAGCCCAAGGGGTCACAAATAATTGGACACAACCAAGTGACTGAACAACAACAAGGAAAAGATTAGGGGCATCTCTCCTCAATTCCAAGAGAGAAGCCTGTCTTCGGGAGGCGGTGCCCACCCTACCCAGCCCCTCAGTCTGAAACCACTGCTTTAAACACCCATCAGCATGGTCTGGTCCTTTTCTGTCTTGCAGAAGGTAAACAGTTTTGCAAAAGGAAGCTTCTGTGAGGGTCCCAGGCTGCCTAAGGACCTGTGCACATCCGTCTGTCTCACTCCTCCAGCTCCTCACAGGTGACATTCCTGAGCTTCTTAACTGGATGCTGGATGCCCTGTCTGTCTGCAGAGAAGGTAGAAATCTGTGGGGCCTCTGTTACCCCAGCCACGCAACACAAGACACTCAGGGGTGATCTGACAGCAATCCCACCTCTCACATAGTATTTTTAATTATATGCAATGTACTTTTCAGATAGCCTAGTGATGTCTTTCAGATATCATAGTGTAAATTATTTGATAAAAATGCATGTTTCAGGATTGTCAAACAGCTTCAGGTAATGACTTAGAGAATGTTCTTTTCCCCCATTTTTTCTCACTTCCATTAGCCAGGCTTTTCTCCAGTTTTGATTTCTAACTTAAAACTTCAGCTGGAACCTGCTTTGTGAGGTTGATAGCTATGAAACCACTGACAGCATGACTGATTTATCAGGGGGAGTCTTGCTGTTCTGTGAGAATGCAGCTCAGTGGCCCAGAAGATGCTGTCCTCTGCAGGTTCAACAGACCCCTGTGCTGAGGATCTGGCTCCTCAAACTTCTTCCTATTGATGGGCACATCTAGAGGATTCACACACACACACAGACACACACACACACTGCTCTGTCTCCTAGTCCTCCCACTGTCTCCAGTGACCACAGTTAGTCCCCACAGTTTTAGACTTGTTTGAAATAAAACATACTTTGCTTCTTGACTTAATGACCAATTTCCTAAAGTAATGATTCCTAGTGAATTCCAGTGGTTCTATCCAGCCGAAAGGTTTCATAGTCTCTCCTGGTTTTCTGAGTGTTAACCATTCGGTATCTCATTTCTCACTTGATGGCATAGGGTCCACCTCCCTGCACGCTTATCTGTCTTAGCTTTGACTGCATGTCACAGGAGCTGGTTGGGTCACAAAGAATCTGGGGCCTCCGACCTACTCAAGGTCTTGTAGCTGAGTGGGGCTCATAGTTGCTGAATCAGATTGAGAACATACAGACAGTGACCAGCTGAACAAAGAGACACAAGCTACCCACATGGTGTTAGAAGTCAGCTCCCTCAGCTTCCAAGCTCCCACCTTGAAGAAGGGAAAATCTCAGTCATTTTGATTGAAGGTACAGTTACCACTCACATACACTAAGGAAGCAAAGTCATGAGATTTATTCCTTCACAGATGCCAGAATTGGAATGAGGTCACTAATTTTTGTAGGACTCAATTGTTACTCAGTTGCTAAGTTGTGTTTGACATTGTGACCCCATGAACTGCAGCACGCCAGGCTTCCCTGTCCTTCACCATCTCCATTGATTCAGGGATGTCATCCAACTATCTCATCCTCTGTTTCCCCCTTCTCCTCCTGCCTTCAATCTTTCCCAGCATCAGGGTCTATTTCAATGAGTTGGCTCCTCGAAGCAAGTGGCCTAAGTATTGGAGTTTCAGCATCAGTCCTTCCAATGAATATATAGGGTTGATTTCCTTTAGGATGGACTGGTTTGTATCTCTCAGTTTCCTGTCTCTCTCAGCTTTTGTGTCTCTCACACCTCCTGTGTCTCCCAGCTTCATTATCTTGCCACTTTCTGTGTCTCAACACCTCTTGGGTCTCTCAGCTTCCTGTGTCTCTCACCACAGCCTGTGTCTTTCACACCTCCTATGTCTCTCAGCTTCCTGTGTCTCTCAGCTTCCTGTGTCTCTCACCACTTCCTGTGTCTCCCAGCTTCCTGTGTCTCTCACTACTTCCTGTGTCTCACACCTCTTATCTCTCCCAGCTTCCTGTGTCTCTCACCACTTCCTGTGTCTCCCAGCTTCATGTCTCTCACCACTTCCTGTGTCTCTCACACCTCCTATCTCTCCCAGCGTCTTGTGTCTCACACCACTTCCTGTGTCTCCCAGCTTCCTGTGTCTCTCACCACTTCCTGTGTCTCCCGGCTTCATGTCTCTCACCACTTCCTGTGTCTCTCACACCTCCTGTCTCTCCCAGCTTCCTGTGTCTCCCATCTAGTGAGTGGAAAGCCCATGGATTCCAGCCGTGCGTCCGCCCCAGCTTCACCCCAGCCTCCCCGTCAGCAGTTTCTGGTTCACATCAGGCACCTCCACAGAACCCACTCCCTCTGTCCCCTGACTCCTGCCCCCTTGTTTCCTGTGCTGTCCAAGAATTTCAGGACGGTGCCCAAATGCCTGACTGCTTGCAGTACAGAACCTTCACCCATGATACATTTTGAAGTTTTAAAAATCATGGAGAGAGCTGTCATCTTGTGACCCCGCATGTGTGCACCTAACCTCAGCTGGTCTGCCCGAGACCACCTAAACGCCAATCCTAGTCCCCCGCACAGTCCCATTTCCGCTCCATGATGAAAGAAACTATCATGAACCAGGAGAAACTCGCCAAACTGCAGGCACAAGTGCGCACTGGTGGGAAAGAAACTGCTCACAGAAAGAAGGTAGTTCGTAGAACAGCCACAGCAGATGACAAAAAACTTCAGTTCTCTTTAAAGAAGTTAGGGGTAAACAGTATCTCTGGCATTGAAGAGGTGAATATGTTCACAAATCAAGGAACAGTGATCCACTTTAACAACCCTAAAGCTCAGGCATCTCTGGCAGCAAACACTTTCACCATATTACAGGCCACGCTGAGACAAAGCAACTGACCGAAATGCTCCCCAGCATCTTAAACCAGCTTGGTGCCGACAGTCTGACCAGTTTAAGGAGACTGGCTGAAGCTCTGCCCAGACAGTCCATGGATGGAAAAGCACCACTTGCTACTGGAGACAAGGATGATGATGAAGTTCCAGGTCTTGTGGAGAATTTTGATGAGTCTTCCAAGAATGAAGCAAACTGAATTGAGTTAACTTCTGAAGAAGATAAATCTTGAAGAGGTTACTGGGAGCTGCTATTTTATGTTATGACTGCTTTTTAAAATTTTGTTTATGGATCTGATAAAATCTAGACCTCTAATGTTTATAAGCCTAAGCCCCTGGACACTGCAGCTCTTTTCAGTTTTTACTTATATACAATTCATTCTTTGCAGCTAATGAAGCTGGAGAAGCCTAAGAATAAAGTTTGAGACAAAGATAAAATTCTTTGCCTAGTAAAAAAAATAAATAAAAATAAAAATCATGGAGAAAGATCAACTTCAAATTTCTCATAGATGCAGTGAACTGTCATCAGAGAAACACATTCTACCAGCGATGAGAGAAAAAACGAACAGAGTGCTTACCCAATCCATTTTCAGATGTGGAATCAATACAACCCCCTAGCATTGTTTCCAGGTTACCTTTAAGATGGTGGCGCGGGAAGGCCCTGTGAACACTAATGCATGCAAATAATTCAGCATTTAACTACAGCATGAGGATTTGCTCAAAGAAGAAACATATACACACACTTTCTGATTAGTTCTCCAATTTATCATCATATTCTCTTAAACTCTGGGGTGTTGCATTTTAGGGTCCTATTAAATAAATCAAAAGAGCATATTATCTGAAATTAGGAGCCAGACAGGATAGCAGCTAAAATTAATTCACCATAGTAATCTCCTCCTAAGACAAACTCCCCTGGGGGAAAACATTATATGCCCATTTCCATGGGCAGAGGTTTAAATATATCTCTCCTATTAACTTTACATGCCTAAATCCCTGCACATTAAAATAAAAATGTATCTCTCCTCTCAGAAGAGAAAACTGGAAGTCTGCACTGCCCTCTAAATGAGTCCAATTAAATGTAATCAAGTTACACATCTATGCTTTAGAACCATATGGGACATTTGACAGAGAAAACAGGCCTAAATATACACACGCCCAGGTACATTTCCAAGCAGCTCAACCCAACCCTTGCCTCGTCAGTGAAAGGAAACCCAAACTGAGAGCTATTGACATGACCCCATGCGTGCAAAAATCCAGCCATCCTACACCCTTCATCCTGAAGCTACACGTGCAAAAATAATAACTGTGTGCAACAGAAGAGTTGTTCAACCACCGGTAACCCAAACTCCATTTCATCTCATCTCCATTGGGTCTGGGGTGGGGGGCACCGAGTGGGGGGTGGGGTTAGTTGGAGATAAGGTGATAGGGGGCTAGAAGCCCTCCTTGGATTTCAAACGGGTCAACTTGTCAAAGCTTTATGTGGGAGCCAATTACATTAATTTTCCACAGCCGCCAAATACATATTTCATTTCCATCTCCCACAAGAGATGGGGTCCAGGGATCCTGTTTCGCAAGGCTCTTATCACTAAGTAACATTCATACCCCCAAAGGAACCCTTGGCAGCCGGTGGCCCAGGCTGCCTGGTGTTGCCGTGGAGCCGCTCAGAGCCGCACACGCTCGGGGACAATGGGCCGCCACGACGGCCGCATTGTCAATAAATTTCAATTACACTAATTGCCAAGAGTTCAATGAGTGCACTTTGAAGAGGGGGAGAAAGGAATATAAAAAAAAAGGGAGCTTATGCCTCGTAGGGCTAAAGAAAAGGAAGTAATAAATAGTCTGTGTTTTCTAATGGGGGCATTCAAGTATTTTTCAACATGGCTTAACCAGATTTTACAAGCTGTTCCAGCTTCAGGGATCCTGTTTTACATTTCTTTGTTACTATCTCCAAACAACATATACAGACACTCAATTATGTGGTGTTATATTTCAGGGGAGATTTAATTTCTAAGTAGTTTTTTTTTTTTTAAACACGTCCATCTGCTCTGTTTGGATGAATACTGTGCTGAGTGAATTTAGGAAGGACAATTTATGAATGGACAGGACTGCTTTAAAAAACGAACTCAGAGGATGCTCTTGATTCCAGGTGGAGCGTACCTGTTCTATACCTTCAAAGAATGTATGGCATTTCAAAGGGGGCATCTGAGGACCATGTGTAAATGTCGCTGAGGACCATGTATAGGTGTGGCTGGGGCCCGTGACATCTTTATAAGGTGGATGGGTCTTGACCGTTTCTTTTAGAATTGGATAGGTCATCATCACAGACACTCATTTCGGTCTTCACAAAGAAAAGACAGAATAAGAAGCAAGAAAGACATTGGGTGGCTCCCAAGCCTGCTGGGTACCAGGGCAGCAGCTGGTCATGCAGCTTTGGACCTCGGGTACAGAAGAGACCCGCTCCCGCGAGGCTGACCTAGACCCTGGGTGTGCCCCTGTAGCTGGCGCCCTGTGCTGAGACCCGGCTGGGCAGGGTGGCAGGGAGCCCAGGAGGCTAAGCAGACCACACACCTGCTAGTGGCTCCCATACTGGCATTGAAAGGATGGCATTAGGCTTCCTTCCACTGAAGGTGCCCTTTATCAGAGCTGGTTACAGCAGAGAGAGCATGGGCCCGTAGTCAACTGGCTGGAACCACAGCACCAGCCTGCACGGGCTGCTGGTTCGTTTGTGAAATGCAGACAATAGCGAACTCTTCCCTTAGCCACCATGCTAAGCTCTTTCTTCATTTTCACTCATCAAACCTGAACAGAGAAATGGGCTCTTGGTGAAGTTATTGTGCCTCAGCGCTACTTTTAATTCATAGCATTGCCTCTTGTGAGGATGTTTTTATTTTAAATGGTATTGCTTACCTTGGAGCTCAGTCGGTAAAGAATCTACCTGCAGTGCAGGAGACCTGAGTTTGATCCCTGGGTTGGGAAGATCCCCTGGCAAAGGAAATGGTGACCCACTCCAGTACCCTTGCCTGGAAAATCCCATGGACAGAGGAGCCTGGTGGGCTGCAGTCCATGGGGTTGCAAAGAGTTGGGCACTACTGAGTGACTAACACTTACTTACTTACTTCTGCTTATTGAATGGAAAGCTTTGTGCTCGGTAAAGGGGGTTAAGCCTCGAGGAGCAGATGGGGAAATTGCAGAAGCTTGATCTCTGGAAATTCGGTGCTAACTACACCCTGGGAGGATTAACAACAAGATCGAACTCGTATCAGCATGGCACTTCCAAGCACGGCTGGGAGAGGCAGGTGCGGGGCTGTCCCCAGTGCAGGACTCTGTGTCCTGGTGAACAGAACAGTCAGCAGGTCAGTGCATGGGTTTGTGAACACCTCACACCGACGAGCTGTCTCTATCAAGGTGAGCAAGGTCAGGCTCCCATGTGCCTTTAGCTGGTGTGTGTGTGGTTGCACAGAGCATCCTCTCAGCCCTCCAAGATCCTTTGTCCAGGAAGGGTCACCACTGAGGTTCAACAATTTTTTAAAGGAGAAGAACAGAATGGAATGCGAAGGTGAGAAAGGAATGTTTAGGACCATGAGACTCTTTGATCTTCTGTGTCTGGAACAAAGATCAGAGGATATTGGTGTGTGTG